TCCAGTTGTGGTTGATAATAACGGGAGAAGCTTGTGGGAGGCATTGGATTGGAAAATACTGAAAGAAGCTAAAAGTGCAGTTACTCAGTATGGGCTGAAATCACCTTACACTCAGTCTGTGTTGCAGCATATTTTTTCTTCGCAGTTGCTAACTCCTTATGACACTAGAATGATTGTCCAGATGCTACTGCCACCATCGCAGCAGTTGCAGTTCTTCCAACGTTGGCAAACTGCTTGTGATAAGGCAGCTGCGGTACCTCGACAACAGGGTGATCCCTTGTTTGGTGCGCAAGCTCAAATGCTTGTGGGAGCGGGACCCTTTATACGAGCTGATTGGCAAGCACAATTCACTACAGAAGTGTTACAATTGAGCCAAGAGTTAGCTTATAGAGCTCTTATTAGCGTGCATGACGAAAAAACCAGACCAGCCTTCATGGCGGTAAAGCAAGGTCCCACAGAACCGTATGGCAAATTTATTGATCGACTGCACGCCGCAATTATGGCTCACCCTGATTTGGACGATGGCATGAAAGCAAAGTTCTTAGATAGGCTTGCCTTTGATAACGCTAATGAGAAAACTAAGAGAGCCCTTAGTATGCTGCCAAAGGGATCTGATGCAGGGCAGCTGTTAGAAGCCGCCGAGCGAATGTTAGAACAAGAAAAAGCTAGAGTCATGGCCGCTGCTGTGGGCGCAGCAATTAAGCTGCTGATACCTAAAGCAGGAGAGGCTGCAAATCATATAAGACATAATAAACAAGCAATTAGAGGCAGGTCATATTGTGCCTTCTACAAGCCCTTGGAACACCCCCATTTTTACCATTCCCAAAAAATCAGGGAAATGGCAACTACTGCACGATTTGTGTGCAGTGAACACTGTTATGCAGGACATGGGGGCATTACAGCCGGGATTACCTTCCCCTGTAATGATCCCTGAAAATTGGGATTTGCTTATCATCGATTTTTACTATTCCTTTACATCCAGAAGACGCAGAAAAATTTGCATTTACAGTACCCTCACTCAACAAACAAGAACCTGCCAAAAGGTATCAATGGGTGGTATTACCCCAGGGCATGAAAAATTCTCCCACATTGTGTCAGAC